ATTCTCATCTTCATAACATCAGAGAAAACAGCTCATCAAATCAACGGCAATGCTTTACCCCAACTGATACAATCAGCGACACATTAAGATCAAGCACAACTTGGGCACTGACCACCTGTGGTAGTCACTAGTCTATCACCCTTAAATCATTTGAATTAAATTGAAATCAAGAAGCAGTCCAGAACATGCCTGCAGTGAACAAACTTTTCAACATAGTATATTTACCATTTAATGGCTCAGACAGAGCGAGGATGCAAGACCCCTGATCTCAGTTAGCTGATTGCTGAACCCCATGACGCTGACTGACCTCGGGCTGCAAGGCCCAGATTGAGTTCCCCATCCTTCTGAATGGTTGAACTCTGCAACGTTCTATTACAGGTTTCCCCCGCCCTTTTTAAAAGATGTTCAAAGTTGGGAACTCAGAAAAATACCCTTGATGACCACCTCTGTCTTTACAGAGTGGGTTCAAAGACTTGCACAGTCAGGAGGTCTGAGAGTGCAGGGGGGACGCTTATGGGGGTTCAGGGGCACCTGCGGCTCCCTTCCCGGCGCTTGAGCAATGGCTGCTGGGTTGGGAGCAGGAGTGGTTCTCCTTCCCGCGGTGGATCCGGCCGGCCTATCTCCCGGCGCTTGAGCGATGGCGCCCAGCCCATTTTTATTTCTTTTTTCAGCCCATTTTTATTTTGGTAGGATCTCATTGTCTCCAAAGTTGGGCTTGGCCTCACAATCCTCCTGCCTCAGCCTCCCAAAATGCTGGGATTACTGGGCTGCACTATCACACCTGGCTACCTGCTTCATTGCTGAAATTCCATTATTGTTTGGGAAACAGCATAGTTCAGTGCATGGAGCCCAAACCTCGATGCCTAGAGACGTGGTCACCTAAACAGGCATCGTTGGCTGAGGACCAAGTGCAATTGAAAATGCTCACTGTCTGAAGGGGGCACCTGCCCTGCCTCGTTAGTATTGCCATTTTCTTGTGAAAACGTCCAGCTTTTACATATGAGCTGTTAGTTTTCTATTGCTAATAATAAATTACCACTAACTTACTGTCTTGCCATAACAAATTTAGCTTGCAGCTCTGTGGGGTCTGAAATGTGTCAGCTGGGCTGGTTCCTTCTGGAAGCTCTGGGAGAATCCGTTTGCCTTTTCCAGCTTCTAGAGGCTGCCTGCATTCCTTGGCTGGTGGCCCTGACTACCATCAAGATCAGTGGTGTGAGTTATTTGTCCCATTACATCACTGTTTTTTTTTTTTTTTTTT